AAAATTTTTTTTATCTATTTACTTATTAAAGATAATTGGTTTAATAGTTGGTTTACGACTTACGCTTCGTGTAAAAATAAGTATCAAAATTCATTTTGAATTTCATCTCATTAATAAGAAGATAAAAAATAATTATAATATTATAAAAATCAAATATTTTACAAAACATACGTATTTATTAAATATAAACTATATTTTTACAGTTTTTGCTGTATTTATATATATTATATTATAAACTGTATTTTTTACATAAAATAAAAAAATTTTTTAATGCATCTCAAGTGTATTTTAAATTTGTATAAAATAGAGATATAAAATAGAGATATAATTTTATATTCTTGAACTATGAACCGGCGAGCCACGAATTATGCATCACTGCTACATCCTATACATATAATTATACGTATACTATAAAAATTATTGTTACATATATCACCGTCGTACAACATTATTTTTCGAGGAAGAGGTTTGAACACATACCTGAACGGTAAGTTGTTCACCAGTGTAACAAAACATAAACATATTTACCAACATGGACATAAGCGCTGTAAAATAAGAGCTCATAGCTAATGGATTGCTATTTTCCCATTCCTATAAATATTATATTATTACTGGAAATATTACTTCTTTTTGTGTTTTATTACTGAAACTCTCGAATATATCAAATTACGAACTATTATTATAAAATATCCTAGAATGCAGGCATTCATCGTACACCCAGTCAGTTCTATTAGACACGCTTGTTGTAGAGTATTTTCTACCAATTGCAAAAAACTGAAATGTTGACGGTAACGAATCAATACATTCAGAAAATGAAAAATTGGAATTGTCTGTACGAGTATGATGTTAGGTATCGATTAATGAATAATCACTTATTATAACCGTTTAGACACTGCATATATGTACATAATTTTAATAAAACTAAATTTTAAAACTCTTACCTTCGAATTCTTATTTGATGTTCAACCATTATTGCCAGCTTCCTGTTCACTTGCAGTTTTTCTTGCCATTTCTCCTTGACAAAATTTCTCATCAAGCTCATCAAAATTATTAACTGACCGCAAATGTGCATTACGAAGACCGCCGCAAGACCACATAAACCTGTTGTTATTGAGTAAGTGATTATCCCGGATAATATTTGTATTGCAAAGATCAGCTCGTAAATGGGGCTGACTTGTACATCGAAGAAAATGAAGTAAGCCGGGCAAGGCAGAGGTCTAATCGTAACATTTTGTGGAGTGATGATTTTTCCTTTGGCAAATGGCAAGATCAGTCGAAAAGAGAGCCCGCTGCCATACATGAAAATCGCACAAAGTGTAACCAGACGTCTTCCAATTTTTGCAGATTTAATCATCGTGTTCCGCGCTTTTGCGTTGATAACAACTTTATAATCTTCCTCGATGTGCTGCAAGCAGCGTTTTATGTTTTTCTCATGGAATACCAAACTGCTATATTTACCACAGGCTATGAAACCAAAAAGAAGCAGAGGGATTGTTCGGACCCTGACGCGTGGTCTCTTCTCAACCAACCAAAAAAGAGCACCAGGTATCAGGACAGAATAGAGGAGAATGTGACAGATCAAGATTAAGAAATACTTCCAAATTTTCTCACGGGTAGATTTTTTCCTATAAAACGGCCATACTCCGAGTAAACTCAAAACGTTTCGCGTCAAATATGTAATGTAAATTATGTCATCTTTATAATATTCGTTGCGCAACATTCTTTTGTTGATTTTATGTGAAGCCTTTATTCAAACTGGATGGCTACTGACCACTGCGAATACGAATTGTCAATAAAATAAATTCGTTGTTTGCGCTTGCGCGCATTATAGATTACAATGTTTCTAAAGGAGAAAATTTAAAAGCAGTAGAGTTTCTAAGTCAACTTGCTCACCGAGGGTTGGAATTGCTTTCCACGAATAGTGTTTTCATTCACCATACATTATTATTTTAAACTTAGAATAATCTTTTTGGCTTCAACTTTTCTTCCTGTATTAAAACTCGTGATTGCATTGAACATTGATCTTCCACAATGATTCTGATTATATAATACATATTACAATATATCGAAATATACATCGAAATATTTCAATTTGCTTAGAGATTAATATATGTGATAACAATCATGATGTTTTCGATAATTTTGACGACATTAATGCCTTAAGATGGGCATTCAGTAAAAAAATATCGATTTTGAATCAAAAGATGCCATAAGGAAAACATCAATACATCAACCATTTTAAAAAGTTTGTACTGATAATAAGTTGTGTGTGATAAAATAAAAATAAAAATTACTTATACTTTTACAGTATCTTATTATATTCTATGATAATTTGAAATTGCGAGAGGCTAAAAATGAAAATAGTATGTCATTTTAATATGCCGAAATCTTTTGTTTGTCTGGAAAATAATCGTATTTAACTGTCTTTGTTACAATTCGCAATTGAAAAGTCACATCTAGCGGATGTATAATGTATGCGGATGTATAATGTAGAAACTTTTGAAATATTGCACGCAAACTTATTTGCCATTTTCCCCCATCATAAGAGACTGAAAGTTGTTCTGTTAAAATCAATGAAAAGATTGACGTTTCGTAAAGAAAACTTACTAATAATAGCAACTGTATAAGCAAAACACGATTTTTTATTTGGTAGAATATCCGTAGAAAAAGGATTGCATTTATCACTGTATCTTAAACAATAAACAATACTATGTTGTTTATATCATCGTTATTAATTTGTTGATTAAAATTAAAGTATGTGCATTTAAATAATAAAGTTACTGTGTAGGAATAATATTCGATTCACGTGCCGGAAATTTTAATGCTGCGTAAGATGGATTTCCAAGTGCAGTAATGGTTTCGAAGTAAAGAGAGATTACTTATTGTATAACACATTTCTAGCTTATAATGTTGAAATGCTGCTTAAAATTTTAGAAAAAGAAAAATTGTGCAATGAATTAAATAAGAATATATTTAAAATAATACTACACCGTATGTATTATGCTTATTGCATCGATTTTTTGTTCTTTTTGCACAATACTTTGTGAAGTTTAGATTATAGTTTCGAAGACTATTGACTGACAATTGATGTGTATTAGTTTGCGATATGTCTATACTTCTGCTCGCAAGTTGCAATCGTGTATAAAAGTTAACAGGTACAAAAAAACGGCATTGATTTCATATGTATGTAATTGATAAATATAAAATTAATTTTAATAGTTATATCATAATTTCTATTCAATATTCTTATTTATCTTATAATGAAATAAAGAAATAATTTATTTAAATTTAAATAAAAGATAAAATAGTAATTCAAAAAATTAAATAATTGTCGAAATGCTTCCTACGAAATTGTATTATTTAATTTCATCATACTGAGAAATAAAATTTCTTACTTACGCTTTAGTATATACATATACATTGTACCAAACTTTTGTATCAAACTTTTGGCTTATTTATATATAATAAACATATACAATATAATATTATCATTACGATGCATCCATAGTCATGGTTCCGACAAGAAGAAGAAAGAAATATACGATATAATATTCAGCCGGTCATTTTTCGAAGCATATTAAAATATGTCACAGCTGTTTTTATAACCTGAACAATAAGCATAATATCCTGTAGTTATTTATCATTTCGTCATAATTTTATTTAACTAAGTGATAGACTGATTAAAAAATGTTATATTTGATTCATGTCTATTAAGTTATAGATAATAATTTTTGAATAACGTAATTGATCGCTGCGTTGTAATTGTCATTAATTTCTGAAAAAATTAATGAACGCTTTTGAACAAATGTGCTTACGTCACCATAGGTCTTGAATGATAAATCCACGATCTTCCCAGCTGTGATCTTAGCGGGCAAGTTTGATATGATTATTACTAACACGATTCCCCGCGCGTCTTTATTCGGAAGACGATACCATTCAAGTACGCAAGATTTTCTAGCTACTTCCTCTGCCTGTTATTAATATTATCAAGTATATATAAGAAAATTTTTATTGATTTAAACATTGTTTGAAAAATATTTATTATAAAAACTTTCATAACAATTTCTCAAATATTTTGTATAACAGAGAGTTATTATATATTATTATATATTATACGACAAGAAAAAAGGAAAAAAGGGAGAAATAGATATGAACAAACATACCTGAATGGTAAGTTGTTCACCAGTATAACAAAACATGAACACGTTTATCATCATGGATGTAATTGATGAAAAATAGGAGAACATAGCTATTCGATTGCTATTCTCCCATTCCTATAAATGTTGTATTTTATTGTTGGAAATATAACTTTCTTTCGTTATGTTACTGAAACTCCCAAAAATATATAAAATATTACAAACCATTATTATAAAATATCCTAGAAGGCAGATTAACATCGTGCATCCCATCAATTCTATTAGACACGCTTGATGTAGAGTATTTTCTATCAATTGTAAAAAACTGAAATGTCGACGGTACCGAATTAATATATTTAAGAAATTAAAATTTGAATTACCTACACACTGCACGTATATGATATTAACCGATTAGCAAATAATAAATTATTATAAATGTTTAATCATTTAATATGCATGTGATAAAAAAATAAAACTTTTAAATTCTTACCTTCGAAATCTTATCTGGTGTTCAACCATTCTTGCCAGTTTTCTGTTCAGTTCTCGTTTTTCATGCCACTTTTCCTCGACAAGATTTGTCATCAAATTTATGAGGACCTTCAGCTGGCCGCAGGCGTGCATCACGAAAAGAGTCGCAAGACCACATAAACCTGTTGTTATCGAGAAAGTGACTATCCCAGATAATACTTGTATTGCAAAGATCAGCTCGTAAGTGGGGCTGACTTGTACATTGAAGAAAATGAAGTAAGCTGGGCAAGGCAGAGGTCTAATCGTAACATTTTGTGAAGTGATGATTTGTCCTTTGGCAAATGGCAAAATCAGTCGAAAAAAGAGCCCGCTACCGTACATAAAAATCGCACAAAGTGTAACCAGACGTCTTCCAATTTTTGCAGATTTAATCATCGTGTTCCGCGCTTTTGCGTTGGTAACAACTTTATAATCTTCCTCGATGTGCTGCAAGCAGCGTTTTATGTTTTTCTCATGGAATATCAAACTGCCATATTTACCACATGTTATGATGCCATAAAGAAGCAGAGGGATTGTTCGGACCCTGACACGTGCTCTCTTCTCGACCAACCAAAAAAGAGCACCAGGTATCAGGACAGAATAGAGGAGAATGTGATAGATCAAGATTAATAAGTACTTCCAAATTTTTTCTCGGGTAGATTTTTTCCTATAAAACGGCCATACTCCGAGTAAGCTCAAAACGTTTCGCGTCAAATATGTAATGTAAATTATGTCGTCTTTATAATATTCGTTGCGCAACATTCTTTTGTTGATTTTATGTGAAGCCTTTATTCAAACTGGATGGCTACTGACCACTGCGAATACGAATTGTCAATAAAATAAATTCGTTGTTTGCGCTTGCGCGCATTATAGATTACAATGTTTCTAAAGGAGAAAATTTAAAAGCAGTAGAGTTTCTAAGTCAACTTGCTCACCGAGGGTTGGAATTGCTTTCCATGAATAATGTTTTCATTCATCATACATTATTATTTTAAACTTAGAATAATCTTTTTGGCTTCAACTTTTCTTCTTGTATTAAAACTCGTGATTGCATTGAACATTGATTTTCCACAATGATTCTGATTACATAATATTACAATATATCGAAATATACATCGAAATATTTCAATTTGCTTAGAGATTAATATATGTGATAACAATCATGATGTTTTCGATAATTTTGACGACATTAATGCCCTAAAGATAGACATTCAGTAAAAGAATATCGATTTTGAATAAAAAAATACTATAAAAAAACGTCAATACATCAACCATCTTAGAAAGTTTGTACTGATAGTAAATTGTGTGTGTTAAAATAAAAGTAAAAATTATTTATACTTTTATCTTACTTTTATCTTACCAGTATCTTAATGTATTCTACGATAACTTGTAATTGTGCGAGAGACTAAAAATGAAAACACTATGTTTTAATGCCGATGAAGTTTTTTGTTTGTCTGGAAAATAATCGTGTTTAACTGTCTCTGTTACAATTTGCAATTGAAAAGTCACATCTAGTGGATAATGTATGCATAGAAACTTTTGAAATGTTGCACGCAAACTTATTTGCCATTTCCCCCATCATAAGGGACTGAAAGTTGTTCTGTTAAAATCAATGAAAAGATTGACGTTTCGTAAAGAAAACTTACTAATAATAGCAACTGTATAAGCAAAACACGATTTATTATTTGATACAATATCTGTGGAAAAGGAATTGCATTTATTACTATATCTGAAACAATAAACAGTACTCTGTTATTTATATCATCGTTATTATTTTGTTGATTAAAATTAAAATATGTGCATTCAAATAATAAAGTACTGTGTAAGAATAATATTCGATCACGGAGCTTTTAATGCTATGTAAGATGGATTTCCAAGTGCAGTAATGGTTTCGAAGTAAAGAATGATTACTTATTGTATAACTCATTTCTAGCCTATATAATGTTGAAATGCTGCTTAAAACTGTAGGAAAAGAAAAATTGTGCAATGAATTAAATAAGGATATATTATATTTAAAATAATACTACACCGTATGTACTATGATCATTGCATCGATTTTTTTGTTCTTTTTGCACAATACTTTGTGAAGTTAGATTATAGTTTCGAAGACCATTGACTGACAATTGATGTGTATTAGTTTGCGATACATCTATACTTCTGCTCGCAAGTTACAATCGTGTACAAAAGTTAACAGATATAATAAAACAGCATTAGTTCCATATGTATGTAATTGATAAATGTAAAATTAATTTTAGTTATATCATAATTTCTATTCGATGCTCTTATTTATCTTATAATGAAATAAAGAAATAATTTATTTAAATTTGTATATAAGATAAAATAGTAATTCAAAAAATTAAATAATTGTTGAAATGCTTTCTATGAAATTATATTATTTAGTTTCATCATACTGAGAAATGAAATTTCTTACTCACGTTTTGATGTATACATATACATTATATCAAACTTTTGTACCAAACTTTTGACCTATTTATATATAATAAACATATACATAATAATATTATCATTATGATGCATCCATAATCATGGTTACGACAAGAAGAAGAAAGAAATACGGGTAATATTCAGTCGGTCATTTTTAGAAGCATATTAAAATACGTCACAGCTGTTTTTACAACCTAAACAATAAGCACAATATCCCGTGGTTATTTATCACTTCGTCATAATTTTATTTAACGTGATAGATTGATTAAAAAATCTTATCGCTGTGTTGCAATTGTCATTAATTTCTGAAAAAATTAATGAACGCTTTTGAACAAATGTGCTTACGTCACCATAGGTCTTGAATGATAAATCCACGATCTTCCCAGCTGTGATCTTAGCGGGCAAATTTGATATAATTATTATCAACACGATTCCCCGCGCGTCTTTATTCGGAAGACGATACCACTCGAGTACGCAAGATTTTCTAGCTACTTCTTCTGCCTATTATTAATATTATCAAGTACATATAAGAAAATTTTTATTGATTTAAATATTGTTTAAAAAATATTTATTATAAAAACTTTCATAACAATTTCTCAAATATTTTGTATAACAGAGATATATATTAGTATATATCTCTGTTATTATAGAAAAAAGGAAAGAAGGAAGAAAAAAATATGAACAAACATACCTGAATGGTAAGTTGCTCACCAGTGTAACAAAACATGAACACATTTATCATCATGGATGTAATTGATGAAAAATAGGAGCACATAGCTATCCGATTGCTATTTTCCCATTCCTATAAATATTGTATTTTATTGTTGGAAATATAATTTTCTTTCGCTATGTTACTAAAACCCCAAATATATAAAATATTATATATACTCCCAAATATATAAAATATTACAAACCATTATTATAAAATATCCTAGAAGGCAGATTAACATCGTGCATCCCATCAATTCTATTAGACACGATTGGTACAGAGTATTTTCTATCAATTGTAAAAAACTGAAATGTCGGTACCAAATCAATATATTTAAGAAATTAAAATTTGAATTAGCTACACACTGCACGTATATGATGTTAACCGATTAATAAATAATAAATTATAAACGTTTGATCATTTAATATATGTATGTAATAAAAAAATAAAACTCTTAAACTCTTACTTTCGAAATCTTATTTGATGTTCAACCATTCTTGCCAGCTTCCTATTCAATTCTCGTTTTTTATGCCACTTTTCCTCGACAAGATTCGTCATCAAATTTATGAGGACCTTCAGCTGGCCGCAGGCGTGCATCACGAAAAGAGTCGCAAGACCACATAAACCTGTTGTTATCGAGTAAGTGACTATCCCAGATAATACTTGTATTGCAAAGATCAGCTCATAAGTGGGGCTGACTTGCACATCGAAGAAAAAGAAATTACTCGGACAAGGTAGAGGTCTGAGTGTGATGTTTTGTGGAGTGATGACTTTTCCCCTGGCAAATGGCAAAATCAATCGAAAGGAAAGTCCACTGCTGTACATGAAAATCGCACAAAGTGATACCAGATGTCTTCCAATCTTTGCAGATGTAATCATCGTGTCCCGAGCTTCCGCGTTTGTAACAACTTTATAATCTTCCTCGATATGCTCCAAGCAGCGTTTGATTTTCTTTTCGTGAAATAGCAGATTGATATATTTACTACAAGCCATCAAAACGAAGAGAAGCAGAGGAATCGTCTGGATTCTAACGCGTGTTCTCTTTTCAATCAACCAAAAAAAGATTCCAGGAAGCAAAACGCAATAGAGAAGAATGTTACAGATCGAGATTAAGAAGTATCTCCAGACTTTCGCGCAGATAGAGTCTTTTTTATTAGACGGCCAAATTCCGAGTAAGCTTAGAATGTTTCGCGTCAAATGTGTGATGTAAATCATGTCATCTTTATAATACTTATTATGGAACATTCTTTTGTTGATCCTGTATGAAACTTTTGTTCAAACTGAATGGTGACTGATCGCTGCAAATACGAATTGCCGATAAAGTAAATTTGTTGTCCGTTTGCGCTTGCGCGCATTAAAGATTAAAGGGTTGCGTGAATAGGATTCGAAAACAAGAGATTTTCTAAGTTCACTCACCGAGGGTTGGAATTGCTTTCCCAGAATATGAATTCCATTCTAAGTATATTTTTTTCAAGCAGCTAAGAATAACAATTGGCTTTAACTTTCTTTCCTGTGTAATATGAATCTAAAACGGTTACACCCGTTGGACGTTGACCGTCAATAATAGTTTCGATTACGTAGTACAGTAATATTTCAATTTTTAGTTTAAAGATTAATACTTATAAAAGCAATTGTGATTTTTTTAACGTGATAATTGTGACAATGTCAGTGAATTAAATAAAGATAAAAAATATTTATATGTTTTGTCTTATTATATCCTACGATAACTATTTAGTGTCAGAAAATAAACTTATTAAATTCTTGTAGTTGCATGAGAGGCTAAAAATAAAAGCACTGAATCGTTTTGATATATTGATGAAATTTTCCGATTCTCTCTGAAAAAATAATCAGTTTAACTGTATTAATATTACAACTTGCAACTGAAAAGCAATCTAGTGAATGTATAATGTATGTATAGAAATTTTCAAAGTGACTGCGTGCAAACATATTTGTGCTTTTTTTTGTAAGATAAAGAAACTTGTCCTATTGGAAGCAATGAAAAGGTTGCAGTATCGTAAAGAAAACAGATAATAGCAGTGTATATAAGTAAAACGCGTTTTTGACATGACAGAGTATTTGTAGAAAAATAACTGTAATCACATCATGCGATTATGTTAAACAATAAACAGTATTTTTTTGTTCTTATCATATCATTGTGATTATTTGTTTTAAATACAGAATGCATTCAAACACGTTTGTCTACACTGTGCCGAATTTCTGACTGCTCATGTTACAGTACGATATTATTGATTCAATATGTAGCATAGATTGTAGCTTTAAAAACCGAACGTTGCTATGTGATTAATAGCTTTGATTAACAGCTTTTCATTATAAATATCATATGAACCTCCGATCTGCTCGCAAGTTAGTAATCGCAAACAGAAATCAATGGGTATAACTCTCGTAAGTGAAATTGATTAATACACATGCACAATTATATTTTATAATTTTTACTTCTTAATTTCTATACTAATCTCGATACTCTTATTTAGCTTGAAATTAAAGTACATTTAATCTATATATTTAATCTATATTTAATTTATAAGAAATAAAATAATAATTCAACTTAATTAAAATCAAATTGCTTTATATGAAAATTTAATGTAAAATATTATATTATAAAACAAAAATTTCTTACATATACCTTTATATATAGAAGAAATATCTAAATAAAGAATATTTATATAGATATATGTACATTATAATAAATTTTTGTATTTGACACATCAATATCACGATTATACACGATACGATATTACCATTATATAATTCGTAACTGTAATTTTAATGAAAAGAAATATAGAGCCAAAACATTTAACCGGCTACATTTAAAAGCATGTTAAAATATGTTACAGCTGTTTTTACAACCTGAAAATAGCATAATATTTTATAGTTGTTGCTTTATCATGATTTCAATTGTCTCTATAAATTAAATAAAAAACTTATATTTAATTAACTATTACAGTATGTAATAATAATAACAATCACTTAATAACATATTTAATTGTTAATGTTAGAATTGTTGTTGATTCCTAAAGAAATTAGTGAATGCTTTTGAATATGTATTCTTACATCACCATATGTTTTGAATGATAGAGCCATGATTTTTCCAGCAGTGATCTTGGTGGGCATGTTCGACATGATTATCACCAGCACAATCCCACGCGCTTTCTTGTCCGGAAGACGATACCATTCGAGCTCGCAAGATGTACTAGCTACTCTTTCTGCCTGTTATTAATGTTATCAAGTATGTGTAGCAAAAAATTAAGCGAATTTTAAGGATTAAGTATTACTTAAAAATTATTATAAAAATATTTTCAACAATTTCTTCCCAAATATTGTTTTATATAACATATAGTGTTGTATAATAAATAGCGTTATTAGTATTATAGCGGAAACATTATCACATATTATATTACACATCATTGTTGTATATAATAACATCACATGATATAATCATTACCAGCAAAAGAATAGTTATACCTGAACGGTAAGTTGTTCACCAGTATAACAAAACATGAACATATTTATCATCAGAGATGTAAGTGTTATAACATAAGAGCACATAGCAATCGAATTGCTATTTTCCCATTCCTATAAAAGTTACGTTATTGCAGGGTATTCTTTTTTTCGCTTTATTATTAAAACTTTTGGATATATAAAATTACAAACCATTATAATAAAATATCCCAAAAGGCAGACTATCATCGTGCACCCCATCAATTCTATTAAACACGCTTGTTGTAGAGTATTTTCTACCAATTGCAAAAAACTGTCGACGGCACCGAATCATCATATTCGAAAAATGAGAAAATAGTACTAAATTCCGCACATGTATGATGTTAATTACCGATTAACGAATAATCAATTATTACATAAGTTGCGTTGATGTACACACATGGATTTAATAAAAATTAAAACTTATAATTCTTACCTTCGAATTCGTATTTGATGTTCAACCATTTTAGCCAGTTTTTTATCCACTTCTTGTTTTTCCTGCCATTGATCCTCGACGAGATTTCTCATCAAATCTACTAAAATCCTTAGTTGGCCACAAGCGTGCATCACAAAAACGGCCGCGAGACCACATAAAGCTATCGTTATCGAATAGGTAACTATCCCTGATAAAAATTGCATTGCAAAAATCAGTTCGTAAGCGGGGCTGACTTGTATATCAAATGAAAAGAAGTAAGCCGGACAAGGCAACGGTTTGATCGTAATATTTTGCGCAGTGACAATTTTTCCTTTGGCAAATGGCAGAATTGATCGAAAAGAGAGCCCGCTGCCATACATGAAGACTGCACAAAGTGTAACTAGGCGTCTTCCAATCTTCGCGGATTCAATCATCATATCTCGCTCCTCTGCACTGATAATAATCCTCCAATCCTGTTCAATGTGTTTCAAGCAGCGTCTAATATTTTTCTCACGAAAAATCAAATTGCTATATTTACCACTGGCCATGAAACCGTAAAAAAGTAAAGGAATCGTTTGAACTCTGACTCGTGTTCTCTTCTCAATCAACCAAAATAAGGCACCAGGAATCAAGACGCAATAGAGAAGAATATAAGAGATCGAGATCAGAAAGTATTTCCGAATTTTTTCGCCAATAGTTCTTCTCCTGTTGTAATTCGGCCAAACCCCAAGTAGGCTCAAAACATTTCGTGTCAATTGTGTAATATAAATCATATCATCTTTATAATACTCGTTGTGCAGCATTCTTTTGTCGAGCCTGTATGAAATCTTTATGCAAACTGAATGGCAAGCTGATTGCAGCGAATAAAAACTGTAGAGTAAATTCGTTATTCGTTTGCGCTTGCGCATCTTAAAAATTAATATGTTGCTTGAAAGAGAAGGTTTCAAAACAAGAGAGTTTCCAAGTCAACTTACCGAGGGTCGAGATTGCTTTCCATGAATAGTTTTTCCATTCGTCAGCGTACATTTGTTTTCAAAGAATAGTCGATTTGATGATTTCAATTTTTCTTCCTGTACTAAAACTTATGCTGCTTTGACCTCTAACAATAATAGTTTCTATTAGTACAGAATACTTTAGTTTAATCAGAGATCAACGTATAATAACATTGTTTTAGTGCTGTGATAGTGTCATCGTATTTCTGATATTATGATTTTGACAACATCAATAAATAAATTTAATAAAACTAAAATTATATTTACATTCTTATGTCATATTCTATAATACTTGGAGCAGAAAAGTAAACTTGCTAAACTTGTAATGCGTGAGAAACAGAAAATGGCAAATGTTTTCCATGGAAGATATTTCATATGCATCGATTAAATTTTATGATTCTTTGGAAAATAATTACGTTTGATTCTACTTACAATTTGCGTTCCTCGAAGCTTCAATGATGAGTAAGTAAAAGTTTATACGTTTGTAAATGAAACGTATTGTAATTTTTCAATGGCTTTTATTTCTTTTTAAAAACACTTAGGGGAAAACCGGATCACAATTGTCACAGTTTTTGATTAGTGATTTTTAGAAAAAAGGATTTGAAAATATTATATATCTTATTATAATATACTTACATTCTTTAGGTATTAAAAAAATTATTCTTGAATTCATCATAAAAATAAATTATTTAATTTAAAGCTGCGAAAATGTGACAATTAATCTCGTGTTCTGGGTTGATTGTCACATGTTCTAGGATTGGCAGTAGCATATTTTATTTATGAATAACACATAAAATGTACTGTTTGAGTTATAAACATTTTGACAATCAACTCCGTACAACTAGCCCCGATCTCCCTATTAATAAAGGAAGTATTTTTTAGGAATTATATGTCTTGACTATTTTTATATAAAAGTTACATATTTCTTTGAAGATTACGTTTATGCATTTACTATTTAAATTTAGCCAACAACAGAGCATAAAAAAGATTTAAATACGTTACGGTCTTAATGGCCTAAAATGTAATGAATCTTAAAAAATAAAAATGTGATTTTTATTTTTTAACATATTATTACTTATGTTGCCGAATGTCCTGAAAGAAAGATCAAAATATTTTCCTCCTTTAATCTTTGTCGGAAAATTCGACATGAGCAAGAATAATATCAGCGATTGCGCTTTTGGAAGGAAAATGGTACCACTACAATGTGAATGTTGTTAATGCCACTTTTTCTTCCTAATTTAATCAATTATACAAAGTAGATTATTAATAAAAAAAAAAATGATGCTTACATTAATTGATGAATGTTAATTATTACTTCGATAATGTGATAGCATAAAACCTTTATCAAAAGTTATTCACCGATAAAACAAAAGATAAAAATGTTGAAACTAATCGATGAGTCCAACGAGATATGAATATAGAGCGGCAATGTTATTCTCTCATTCCTGTAAATTATGATTATATTTATTTTTGTGATACTTGTTGAATCTGTGCGTTTTACATATCTTTAATACTTTTTCAAAATCACTGAAATTATTGTCGCTACATATTTATTTTATGCGCACTATAATAACAAAATATCTTAAGAGACATACAATTATGGTGCATCCCATAATTTCCATTAGATTTATATATTGTGTGGTGTTCTGCACTAATTGAAGGAAACTAAAATGATCGTAGAAAAAAAGATAAATTTTTGTCAAAATAAATGTTTTTTAAAAATTTGCTTACAATTAAAACAAGAAATATGTTAATTGTACAATAAATAAGATTCTCTATATTTTTATACAAAAATAAAATATAATTAATGTATTCAATATAATTAATATATTCAATATAATCAATAATTAAGTACATTTTTAAAGAATCTTATGTATTGAACAATTCATCATATATGAATTAATTCCAACGTCTATTTTACACATAGATTTCAATTAAAACATTAAAATACTAACAAACAGATTCGTTAAAGATACTTGTAAAATTAGTCTTACTTTCGCGTTTTGATCTGATGCTTTATCAATAGTGGCCAATCTTTCATTCACATTTTTAAGTTCACATTCATTTACCAGATTATTCATCAGAATCATGTCCAGCTGTGTAAGTGTGCGTCAACAAAAAGACCCGCAAGGCCGCATACCGCTGTTGTGACCGTACATTTTACAAATCCGGAGAAGAATTGCATAAGAAATATGATCTCGTAAGCGGGCCTAAGCTGCACATCGAATAGAACAAAGTAAGTCGGGCAGATGTCTGATCGTAAAATTCTGTTTAGTGATAATCTTTCCGGCGGATAATGGTATAATTGTCCGAAAGAACATTCCAGTGGAATCTATGAATATATGGCGCATATTATCAGCAAACGTCTGCCTTCTAGTTTTATCAATCATCACACCACGAGCAAGTTGATTATTTGCCAATCGTCCTCAACCTGCGCGAGGCAGTTTCTTACTTGGTTCCTTTTGATTGACAATTGGCCGTACTTGGTCATCGCTAGCATCATAAATATTAAATATTACGGTGGCGACAACTTTCAGCCTGGCATGAGTCTCTCTCTGTACGATGGTCATGTAGAGAATCGCTGGGACCAACTCGCAAATAAGGAGGATGTAAGAGATGAAGATCACCCCAACTCTCTCGAGGGTCTCCGGAAGTTAGGACTTTGTACGTGCATATGGCCAGACACCCAGTAGACGAAAGACAAAGCTTAAAAACGTAATATATATCGCATTTGTTGGCGAATATCTTTTCCATGTTAGTTCCTGTACAAGCCACAAGTGAAACGATGCGCGTTCAACACTCGCCACTGATCATGATTGATCCGTTCGATTTGGAGGGAACTGCGCTTGCGTGTTGAAACAATCTTTCAAAGCCACGTCGAACAAATTGCTAACATCGTAGATACTTTGAAAAGACTATTTTTGTTATGCGCAGAAAGGATTTCCCGGAAATTATGAAAGGATTGAAGATCCAAGAAAAAAGTTTACTTGTAATAGCGGTGCAATAAGTTTTATAATTTTTCGTAAGAAATGTATAAAGAGATATTATAGAGATGCAAAAAGATAGATGTTCGTGATGTATTATAACATTTTTTATGTATTTCTGCACTAAGTAATAATTATTTATTTTGATTATTCAATATATATTTCTCATATAAGAGTAAATACCTGTGGGAAATTTGTATCCACATATATTATATAAGTTTAATGATATTATATGCACTTAAATATTTAATTATTTTTTTATAATTAATACTACTTACATTAACATTGATAATAAATCTTTTATATTAAAATATATAATATGGATATGTGTATTTCAAAAAAAAATTTATTGCCAATCTTAATTTGCCATTTATTCGGTAAGTTGTCGAAGTATATTAAGATAAATTACAGCTGATTTAATTACCTGAAACAATTTCTTAAATCCTGATAACTAACTCTTAATCATAGATAATTATTATATATTACTTACATCACCGAATGTTTTGAAGGATAGTTCGATGAATTTTCCAGCGGTAATTCGTGGTGGAGTATTCGAAGAGATAATTACTAATATCATATCTCGCGCTACGTTTGTTGGAAGACGATACCAGTCGAGCGTACAAGTAATCAAGCCCACTTCTTCGGCCTATCGCGAACAATTATGAATACCTCATATATAAAAAGAATAGTGAATGTAAATTTTTATTATAAAAATGGTATTACTCATCTTAAAAGATATAAAATAATTACCTGCGCCGTTATATATTCTCCGATATAACATAAAATAAAAATGTTAATAATGACAGATGTGAGAGCTGTTACGTACGTACAAAAGGCCGGTAAATTTCTATTATTCCATTCCTGAGAATAAAATTAGTTTGTACTTGCGACACGCATTGTGCTTAAACACAATAAATTTGCTTGCATTATTTTTCATACCCCTATTATGCAATATCCGGTAAGACATATCAACGTGGTGCACCCGACTATTTCGACTAAACTACTGTAGCGCAAAACATTCTCCACCAGTTGCAAGAAACTAAAATGTATTTATGAAGCACTCGATTCAATAATTTGAAACGAAAAAAATACCAATTTATTTTTTGGAAAATATATAAATATATAAAATTTTTTCGATAATTTATTTTAACGATAATATTTAATATCAATTATAAAACTAGATATTTATAGAGGATAATTTTATGGCTGGTATTCACAGTCGGTTCTTATTTTAAGCCCGTCTTAAAATGTTAATACCGCTCTGTAATTAATTGACTTTTAAGACTACGTTTAAGATATCTTAAACGATATATAAGAATACGTGAATACTGATCACAGATTAGTATCGTAAGACTTGATCTTCAAATAAGATTAGATATAAATACTGGCCTAAATTTTTAAGTATATTTATTCTATATCTGATTTATACCGGCAAAGAATTATTCAAAGTAGAAAAATTATAAACAAAATACTTACTTTTGTATTCTTATTTGATGTTCAACTATAACTGCCAACTTTGCGCAGATATTACGTTGTCCAAACTCACTCTCATCGACGAAGTTCTCCATCTGTCGTATGAGAATTTCCATCTGTGCGCTCGCATGCATCACAAAGACAGCGGCGAGACCGCAAATCGCCACCGTGATCGTGTACATGACAAAACCGCAAAGGACTTGTTGAAGAAACACGATTTCGTAGGCAGGACTATTCTGCGGATCGAAGAAAACATAATAACCGGGGCTGGAAAAGGGTCTAATTGTCGTATTCTCATCGATAACAATACTTCCTCTCGACAGCGGCACTATCGTATTGTAAGACACTCCACCGCAATACATAAACGTGCAGCACAAGATGAACAATCGTCTTCCATTACTAGCTTTGCTCAGCATCACTTCTCGCGCGTCATCGACGACTACTGTTCCCCAATCTTCCTTGATGTGCCGCAGGCAATTTCTAATATCGTATTCATAAACAAGTAAAGTACTGTATTTGGCGATCGCCATGACTGAGTACAGAATCGGTGGCATCATTTTTACTTTCTCACTCGGCTCATCATTGACAACTGCGTAATAAAGAATACCCGGTACCATGTCGCAATGGAGGAGCAGATAACAAACGATTATGAGAAAAATATTTATAATCTTTTCGATTATGTTTGGCTGTCTGTCAATCGATGGCCAAATCCCGAGCATGCGAAGTACAACGTGACTTTGTTCGAAAACGTATTTCACGTCTATCTTCTGATATTCATTAAGGATCATCCTAGCGATATTATGCACGATATAACTTTTCTGATTAAAAATAATTTTGATAATGTCGAAACGATTGAAAATTCTACAATCGCGGCGAAGAAAATAATAGAGAATCGAAATGTTTTAAATTAATTGTTGGTGCTAAAAATTGAGATATGTATGTTCAGGTTCAAGTTTGCGTAAGATTTAATGTTACTGATCACAACTTTGTGCATATCAGGTATGATGTAAACTCTCAGACGACTTGCGCCTGCGTGTTTTAAAAATTAAGGAGTCACTTGTAAGGGTTGTAAGACAGTGAACGAAAAGAAGTTTAACGATTGATTTTGCACACAATGTCGTTTCTCAAGGCGTTCGTGTGGTACGTAGACAGTGGAAACTTTGACTTTGTAACTTGAACCATGAGAACGTTTATTTTTCAAAGTAGCAAAGGACTTGGTCTTCGTCGAGTAACATAGTAAATAAAACTTTTTTTTATCCTATCTTCGGCCAAGTCAACGCTTACATTATACAAATATAATAATACTCTAATTTTTTAAATACTACTGTGGGCATATATACTTCGTTGTCTTACTTATATTTTGTATATCTTATTTTTACAGTAATTTTATAACATATTATTTTAAAGAGAAATAATTTATTCCATTGTAAATGCCATACTAACACGTGCATTATTTGTCAAACTATTAATGTAATTCTGTGCCATACTAAAATCCTAAGCATGGTATCCCTTTCGGTCCCCACCAAATATGGTCTCATCACACCATGTCTTACATTCTCAATCTCGCGAGGAAAATTCACGAAGTAAATTGAAATACGCCATTGACGTCTTTAAGATCTAGGATACAATATTTTATTTTCATTGTCAGTATAGAGATTAGAATTTTAAGAGATTTTAAGAGATACATATTTTATTTGGATTTATTAAAACTTACTGATAAAATCACAATATTTAACATCAATTAAATCCAATCTTTAAATAAGTAATAAGATATAAAATAAGTAATAAAGATGTAACACACATGTTACAAACACGTTAAGCAGTCTTAATTAATACCTCGCATTTAGAGCACGAAACGATATTACTCACGTCAGAAAACGTAATAAGTGTCATCGTCAACATCTTTCCGGCGGTGAGAGTTGCGGGGTATCGAGACATTATGATCGGCATTAACAAATCAATCGCCTTCCTGGATGGCATTCGATACCACTCGATCGTATAGCAAATAGTTCCTATCTGCTGGCAACGCTCTTTGAGCAAATCTCCAATGTAGCAAAACATGAACACGTTGAAAATGACCGACACAAGTCCAAAGAAATATGTAAAAATCTGCACGAACGATTCATTATTATTCATATCCTGAAATTTGAGAAGAGATTAACAATCACTGTGATTGCGAGGTATCAACATTTGTTTAAAGTTATTTTGAAGTTTTCATAAGAATTGGAACATACAGTTATAATGATATAGCCCAGTAGACATATGTTACATGAAGCATTCATGAACTCCACGAGACATATCTCGGTAAATAAGTTTCTTACGTGAGACACGAATCTAGAAAATTATATCTAATAAAATTTCGGAAAGTTTTATGCAATTTATCTATTACCAATATATCAATTTCTGGACAATTTATTTATCAATTTATTTATTTTATTTGACTACTATCAAATGCAATTGTTATAATAAAGATACTACACAGATAAAAATGAATTTGAAAAAAAAGATTTTGTTAAAGTACCTATCTAAAAATTTAACTGGATACAGATAACCTGAAAATAATTTTATTGATCTATTAAAATAATTACGTAGGAATATCAAGCATGACAAGCAATGCTGATGCAAAAAATTTTCAACTCGTTTAAGCATCTTACATGAATATTTTAATGGTTCAACAAGATTATTTTCAAATTAATCTAGTTAAATTTTTAGACACTACAAAATCGTTTTTTCCGTATAAATATTTGAAATTACACACATACACACACACACACACACACACACACACACACACACACGCGCGCGCGCGCGCGCGCGCGCACACACACACACACACACACACACACACACACACCTTAATAGATGCAAATGTCGGGTTATTACAACAGCAATTCGATTGTCGATAGATCCGCTATTGCGTTTACCACCGTCTACGAGTTCCTTTAAAAACGACATTAACACGTCACACTGACCGCATATATGTGCAACAAAATTGGCCATCAAGCTGCAAATGCCGCAGAATGCACTGTAGGCAGTGAAACCGCACAAAAGTTGTAAGAAGTACACGATCTCGTACGCAGGACTAATCTGTTTGACGATAAATTAATTTACACGTGCCGATCTAATATCTATACGTATAATTGAAATTTGAAATGCATGTTATAAAAAAAGAGACAATACCTAAAGACAAAATGATGTATAAAAAATCTTTAAACAAAAAAAACACTGATCAGGATTAACTGAATCAACACTGCCAACTTAGCCTGAAAGTTGGAATTGAAAGTTTTACCTTAGAATCAAACACAAGAAATTCGCAAGCCGATGGATGCAATCTCACGGTAACGTTGTCTTCATTGACTAAATTTGATGTAGCTATAGGTTGTAAGTAATACAGTGTGCCACAGCTGAACATAAAAACCACGGAAGTGATACCAAAAGTGCGGCCAATTTTAGCGTTCGCCAACATGATATTGCGATCCTCGGCAATTATTGCGTACCGCCAGTCATTGGCTACATAATCAACGCAGAATCTGAGCTGATCCTGATGCCAGAGCAACAAAACATATTTCGCGAAAGCCATTAGAGTGAAGATTAACTCACACATTAAATGAATTATTAGGAAGACATCCTTTTCTTTCATCATGTGCAACATCATCGGCACTATAGTGCAGATCAAGAGGAACGTGGCGATCATCATCGATGCCTTGTGCAGGACGATCTTGAATTTCGACGTTTCATCATTGGCCAACGGCCAAGCACCAAATGGTTTTAGTAGACAAACGCTTATCTGAACGGCGTAATAAAAGTCCAAAACATGCAATTCATTCTGCTTTGTTACATTGGCAGCGAGCGTGTTCAGCCTTTTTTCTTGTTTTCGATCAACCATCTCCAACAATATAACGTCACCGCCGGCTCTATCTTCACTGTCCCGATCATGATAGCAGGTTTACGCGTTTTTCTATCACGAAGCATGCGCGTCCCGTTCGATGAACTCTCCGATCCAGGCTGCATAAAAGTAACCTTGATAACTTTGATAATTTACATTTTCTAATGTACCGGTTAAATTTTACGAAGAGAAAACAACATGTGCAATTGGAATAAATCGGAAAGGGGAAAACGGAGACTGCGGTGGTCAGTGACTTGTCACAACCATGATGTGGTGGAAACTTCTGTTCGAGGTTAACTGACATAAACTGACTATAAAATTACTGACAATACGTAATTCTGATTTTTTTTTCTCGAAAAACTATACATGTTGAACATAAAGTTTTTTTACATAATTTGCCTCGCTTCATTCTTATATGCTTCGATCTTTTATATTTATCTGGGAATGATTATTGCTGGGATATTGTTATTGCGAAAAAATTGTTGTAAAATATTGTTTTGTACGGATATTGTTTAAAATATTTTTTTCTTTTTTAAGAAATATTTTTTTTTTCATCTTTTTGCTTTTTTAGTTATTCTTTGCAAACTTTTAAATGTACAATTCAAAAACCCGCAATAAAAAAGCATTATAAAAATAAAAATCTTAATAAAAAAGTTAATAAAAATCTTTGTTTTTTTTTTTAATACTCATAATAAACTATATACTATGCTTCTGTTTAATATTACTTTTCTCACAAAATCGTGATTAAATTTCCATATTTATGTTCCTAATTAATGTTCCTAAATACTAATAAATCAAAAAATAATCAATAATATACTGTATGTTGTTAATTATAACGATTTTAATTAAGGTATAAAAATATCTCAGATGATCGTTCACGTATAAAAAGTCAGGTGATTTCATATATATTTTTATAAAAATATTAATTACTTCCTACGATGTTCAATCTTCTTATTATCAATTACTTCTATGAGTAAATTTTATTACCGCTAAGTAATTATCACGATGATTAAAATAGAAACATTTGTGTCTTATATTTTGTAGAACCTTCTGATGTGACAGAAAATAGCGTAATAGAGGCTAAAGCAAAGGGATACTTTATAATGCATTGAGAAACTTTAAAACGGAGGAGATACGATTTCAAGGAAAACTGATTCTATTGTAAAACTGAAATCGTAGTTTGTAGTTTAAGCGCGTTCTTTCTGCGAAGATGGAGAATTGTGGCCAAGTATTTGCATCATAATATTGACCAATAATAATAACATTAAATATTTTACTGCGTATACAAGAAATTAATATAATATCAATATAATTGTAAAGGTATATTAAATGATGAGCATAATACTGTTATAATGACTGACTCAGAAATGACACTAATGTTACTTTAATTATTAGTAAATTAGTAACGTAATTAACCTATTGCGCGTTGTTTCATTCGTAAATGCGATCTTAATGAATATCGCTAAATAAATACGAGCAATAAAAAAGGTTAAATATAATATTTTATATTTATAATTTAGTATAGGTAAAGAAGTTAATATATTTTGAGCAGGAGAGATAAGAAAGTAATATTTCAGTGAATGGCACTTATAATAACCATTTGGAAAACAAATAATCGTTTTATTTCGTAAGCATTCGTATAAAATTCAGATACGCCATTGATGTCTTGCATACCTATGAATATTTGTGAATGTTAATCGAACAATATATTTAATTGTCAAATTAATACAATGGAAGAAATTATACTTACGTCGCAAAAACTTTGAAGAGAGATATCGAACATTTTAGCAGCTGTCAAAGTTGACGGACGGTTTGATCTAATCATCACCATAATTAAGCTGTTCACGTTCTTCGTTGGTATCGTGTACCAATCAATGGAATATGATACCTCTCCAATTTTTCCACTCTTTTAAGAAAAGAAAATTGTATTTAAGAAAAAAGTTAAATATAAATCTAGAGTTCAAGATTTATTTAACTAAATTAATTAAATTTAATTATATACTGTTTGGCTTAAATTAATTATTAGCTCAATTTAAATTAATTAAATTAATTAATTATTCGTTTTTAATAATGGTTATTAAATTTACCTCTTCTTTAAGTCGATCGCCGATAGTCGATAAAGTAAAAACATTTACAAAAATTGAAGTGACTAATGTAAAATATATAATCACACCAAAAAATTTATTGTCTTCCCATTCCTGAAAGAAATTTGTGTAAAAAAATATAATTTGGTTTTAAGAAATAAATTATCTTTTCAATTATGCAAAAATATATTTAAATACCTTGAGAACTCCATATTCAAGAAAGCATATGATAATAGTGCATAGAATCATCTCTGATAGAAAAACGATACTTAATGAATTTTCGATCATTTCAACATATCTGTAGGTATTATTATAAAATAAAAAATTATTATGAAATAAATGTAATTATTATAAATTAGAATAATCGCAAATAATTACACTGCAATTTAATAAAAGTTATTTATGCTATAGGATTTGCTTCAGAATAATATTTAGCAAAAATAAAATCCAGAAATATTTAGCAAAAATAAAATCCTTTTTTTTACACATATATTGATATTATTGATGATATATTTGTTAAAAAATTGACAATTCTTTTTTCGACCTGAGAGCTCGCATGTGATTCGTAATGATCCAATTGAATCGTTCATGAAGATCATCAATTCCACCAACCAATAATGTTTCCATATGTCTGCGAGCGATCTCGAACAAGCAACAGGCATGCATCACACAACTGGCAATTAAACTGTAAACACCACAGTTCGTAGAGAGGATCATAGTGCTGAATACGATCTGAACGACGAAAAGAATCTCGTAGAATGGTGAGTCTTCTACCACGAAGAAGACATAATCACTGAGATAAGGCAGAGGTAAATGAGTCGTGTTGTCTTCCTTGATGACTTTGTCCGCCACCAATGGCATAATTATATGATAAGGTAATGCGCCACCATACAATAATACCAAATACATCATCGTAAACTGCCTTCCGACCTTTGCGTTTTTTATCATCACTAGTCGATCCTCTTCACTCTCCACATCTCTGTACTGAATCTCCATCTCTTTCAAGCAGCATTTGATGTTGTTTTTGTTAATGACCATTGTCCAGAATTTGATGATACCCAGCAGGCTAAATATCTGAGCAGCTATGACTTTCATGTATCTTGTCAGATCCTCCGCGTCGAAGAAGGTATATATGATGTGCGGAACGAGCAAAAAACACATTAAGCAAAATACGATGCTCGTCTGGAGATAGTATTTAATTTTATACATTGTAGAATCGTTCCCGTAAAGTGGCCAGATGCCAACAGGCGTCAACAAGATTTTGGCGACTCTTAACATGTACTCCGTATCGGACCTGTAATTGAAGTTTTGGAATAGCGCGCGATTGTCGACCGGCGACATGCTCGCGATCATTGTCCTACAATTATTCGCTTCGCAAAGTTTAATTCTCGACTGACAACAACAAAGTGGTGGAAGAGGGATCGTTGATCGGATAGCATACAAGTTAACGTAGGCGCTTGCGTGCGAAAAGTTCACCTCTCCCAAGAAGCTGTCAGTAAGGGCTATTCTTCTAAGAACTATCGCAACTTTCATTGGAAAAAAATATACATTATTTCATGATGATTCTACGCAGGCGTTGTCAAGAGGTAGTTGAGACAGAGATTTTCTTCGTTGAGCTGTTGTTGAAAGCAAAAGCGTACAGTGTTCAGAATGGTGAATACCTTTCTATATTTTTACAAAGTGAAATCTAATTCGAAATATTTGCTGTGCGTTTTTAAGTTACTGAGAGACTATATTAAATGTAAATCGACAATATTTGAACATTCTCTAACGCATTGAATATAAAAATATCGAGTTTTTTAGATATAATAAGAACTTTATTACTATTTATTATAAAAGAATTTAGTTATAATATAT